TCAGCCAACCTTACAGGAGTTTTATATTGGGACTCAGAGCCAAACCTCAAGAAATCTTAAATTGTTACTTGTGCCTTTTATTTCCTAGATGATAAATGGTGACTGACCACAGACCTTCTGACTACACTGCATAATGCCATCTGAATCTTACATCCATGCCATCTATCAGAAGTACTGTCACAGAGTGAAGAGTGAAGACAGTGGTGGACCAGGAGTCAAAAGACTCAATTCTATTCTTAAGACTCTCACTACCTAGTGAGAAAAGTTGGATGAGGTGCAACATCTCTCAGCCTGTTTCAGTTGCAAAACAGTGGTTGAATAAAGACTAGGTTGTCTCTGCTGTTCCTTCCAGTTCTAATATTTTACAATAATTTTCCAGGACCTGAAGAGGTAGGAGTTGGGACAAGTTCTGTATATACTTAACTATATTTATAAATGTACTGGTGTCCTTTAGAGACACATCAGCCAACCATGCAGATAATCAAGGTTGAAGGGAAAAATCTACATTAGCAGAAACCCTTGGTTTTAGTCAAGTCAAAAGCAAAATTCCAGACTTCATATTACTTAATACATTTTACAACTCTACAAAAGTTAATTTTTGTGTAATTTAACAAGAAAAATGTACTTTGGTTGATTTTTAAAGTTCTTTTTACTTTGTTTTATAAATTTTATGAAAGTTTTAAGTGATTGTGGAGACTACAATCACTTAATTGTTCACAAATGTATGGACTTCAAATCATGAGTCACTTGAGAATCTGTAAGAAATGTTTCAAATCCTTTGGTTCTGTGCTATCCAATTATAACAATGCTAAATTTAGTAAGATTTTGATTTGTCCTCATCTGCACAGTGATGATAATGTCTAATTTGGACTTTTCAATATAAGCATTGTTACAAAATTGTCTGTAGTCTAATATTGCTTAGAAAGGGCAAAAATAACCTTAATTCCTGCAAATCTGAACAATATGCAGCCTAAAAAGAAAAGGCTCATTGCATAACAACTCAGTAGAACAGTGACTATCCCCACAGCCTCCTTCCACGGAGTTACCCAGCCCTAAAAATAATTCTGCTTTATTCAAGTATACTTTTTTTTCAAAAACAGTAACCCCCAGTAAAACTTTCATGAGCAATTTGGTATAGATCATTCCATGAACAAAGAAAGTAGTTAAGAGATTTAATGAGTTAGAAATGTACAGGTCACATTTACACTGTCAAATAATTAGAACTTTTGTCTATATTAGGTTTACTCTAATCATCTTTATTGATTAATATAGAGATCCTCCTTGTAAAAAAAAATCAAGCCAAAAGCTATAAATTTAAACCCAAGGAAACCAAAGAACCCTGAATAACCAAGTTAGTCTTCTTGTCAGGAATGCTTCATGCACGTACACTCATGCATGTCACGTATACACACCCTATGTAGACAGACTTTCCTGTCAATTTCTGAGATGTCATCAACTCATCCTCTCACCTGAAATAAAATTGCTTTCCAGACTCAACCAATAGTATATCTTAACCTCCTTTCTCCCCCTATATCTTATGCTACATCCAAAATCTTTATTAATTTGGCCCTTTCTATCTTCAGAGAACAGACATTAATCTTATTGAAACCAAGGTACACAGTAAGAATTTGAGAGCTACACATTAATATCTCAAGCAGTTACAGAGAGAATTTATATTGTAAAAGATGAAATAGAAAGCTAGTTAAGCATAAAGTCAACATAATAAGGTATCCTAATGTTTCTGGGACAAAATTGTTTTGGTAAGTTTTCTGTTTTTTTTTTTTTTCTCTCAGACACATTACAATTATCAAGCATAAATGCTATCTTTTTATCCCTTTGAAGTTTCCATTTTTCTCTGTATCTGATATCATCATAGATACAGGTATATCAGGTATATTTTAAAACTGGATTCCAGTCAATGAAAGGATCTCTAATAATTGCCTTGAACATTCAGTAGCTTAATATTTACTATTTTTTGAAATGTCCTTTTCTACAGTACTTCTTCCATGTAAAAGGCTTTAAAATTCTTCTATAGACTTTAGATACATGCTCATTAATATGACCACTTAATCTGAATGAATAGGAATCATACATAAAAATAAACCAAACTGTAAACCTCAAAATAACATTAAAAAGTGTTTTTATTGACTAACTGCAAGCACTGCATAAGTAATAAGGACCATCATTCTTAGGCTTTCACAATCAAGCCGATTCTTTGATGGTTACGTCCACAGGGTAAAAGTCACTAGTTTAGGGTACAGATCTAAGTGTATCCAGTATAGCCTCATTCATAAGACCACTGCATACTGACTGCACTTTGGCTACAGTGACAGGCACTGAGTAAGTGTTGCAGACACAACAGTGAGCAAAATGGAAACAGGCCCTTCCTTTCACAGAACTACAAATTGTTTAGAAGAATGACACCGATCAAATATTTGCCCTTTAGAGTATATAGTTACAAAATGAGATAAGTGTTGTCAAGAAAAAGAGCAAGATTCCATGAGAAGTTATTATAAGGAATTTGACTCAGGTTGGGGGTGTCAAGAAAAACTTTCCTGAGAAAGTGATACTTAAGTAAATTCTAAGGGATGACTAGATGTTAATTAGGCAAAGGAATTAGTGAGAAGGGGTAAAGAAAAGTAAGAGAAAGACTTTAAAACTGAAGGGAAGGCATGTGAAAAGTTCCCATGACAAGAAGCATATTAGTTTCCTATTGTTGCTATAACATATTACTTCAAATTTAGTGGCCAAAGCAACACAGATTTATTATCATATGGTTCTGGAGGTCAGAAGTCTGAAATGGATCATGGAGCTAAAATCACAGTGTTCCTTGTAAAGGCTTAAGGAAGAATTTGTTTCCTTGCTTAATCCAGCTTCTACAGGTTGCCACATTCCTTGTCTTACGGCATGGGTGTCAAACTCATTTTCACCGGGGGCCACATCAGCCTTGAAGTTGCCTTCAAAGTACCAAAATAATTTTAGGACTGTATAAATGTAACTACTCCTTAACTGTTAAGGAGTTGAAATTACATTTGGCCCTTTGAAGGCAACCACAAGGCTGATGTGGCCCCCTGGTGAAAATGAGTTTGACACTCCTGGCTTATAGCCTCCTTCATCCATCTTCAAAGCCAGAATTAGCCAGCCCAATTTTTTCATGAAGCTATCTCTTTGGTTCTCTTACTTCTGCTTTTCTGTTTCACTTATATCCTCCAGCCAATCCAGATAATCCAGGATAATCTATACATCATGAAATCCTTAATTAATCACATTTGCAATGTCCCATTTAGCATGTAAGGTACCATATTCACAGGTTCCAAGGATTAGAACTGTGGATGTCTTTAAGGAGCCATTATTGTGGTCACCATAAGAGAACCATGTTTCATTTAATAATTGAAAAAAGGTCAGGGTGCTGAGTGCATAAAGTGAGGAAAAAAGTGGTATTGGATGAGGCTGGAGAGGTGGGCAAAGGCCACATTATTTATAACATCATAAACCATGTCAAGAGTTTTTAATCTTTATTCTAAGAACACTGGGAAGCTATAAAAGTGGGGACAGATTAAACCTGGTATTTTAAAATATCTTTCTGGCCACTGGGTAAAAAAGGCATTTTAAAATAGCATAGGTTCAGGAAAAAGATGATAGCAACACCAACAACAGATGATTAAGATTATTATTCAAGTCACTAAAGTCATTTCAGATCATTCACTTTCTAATTGGGTAGTTCTATGACTTCGGTTAAATACCTGCCTGGTAGTTCTATGGGGAAGATGAAACATTATGGTTCACAGCACGCCACTCATACAGGAACAGTACCAGGCATGCAAGGTAGTCTTTGTGTTATTATATTGTTTCTACTGTTACTGTGTAGAACGCTATGCTAGTAAATAAGAAAACTTATTTAATAAAATAAATATGTATAATGGATAAAATAAATCAATATAAAAATAATGTAATTTGATTAAAAAAGTAAACACTTATTGTACTTAAATAAATTTCTATTTTTAAGAAGAAATAAAAAATGTAACTCAGGAAGTAGAAAACCAGAATAAATTAAGAATGCTTGTGAACACTGAGTGAGGGAAGAGAATTTGAAGGTGATGGAGGGTATGGGAACCGAATCATGTTGAGCTTTTGAGGCCATTCTAAGAATTTTGGCCTTCACTGTAAGTAAAATGGGGAAACTTTGGAGAGTTTGAGAAGAAGAATGCCATAGTCTAACTTTGGTGTTAGACTGATATTTTGAAAGTAGACAGATTGTAGGGGTAAGCATGAAGGAAGAGAATGATGTTTCATTCCCTGGATTTGGTAGGTGTCTTTCTTAAGTGCCTCTGCAATATCCTGCCCTTACTATAGGCTTAGCTTTTTGTCACATTGTATTATAATTTTCTGTAATTATTCATTTCCCTCTTTAAATTGTAAGTTTCTTGAGAGAGAAATCAAGTTTATCTTCTCACCCTGAATTTCTAGAAACTAGCATAGTGCTTGACATACAATCACTGCTGAATACAAACTGGTTGCATTAAATTAGTAAAATCAGGCAGAAAATGCTACTAGTGAGATAGGGAGAGTCTGTTGTGATTATCTATGCCACTAGCACCACACATATATTTATTTTATTATGCTTGTTTTTCTATGTAATTATTTGTAATTTTCCAGCATTAACTAGTTGATGTTTCTCATGGTTCTGATTTAAGGACAGGGGAAAAGAAGGAGGAAATGAACATTGATAAGTGTATAACCAAGCATGACTTCCATATGGTAGTTCACTGAAGCATTTAACTCTCCTTACAAATTTGGAAAGAAATGTATTTCTTTCCAAGCTCTGTTTTACAAGAGGAAACCACAGTTTAGAAATGCTAAGTAACTTATCAAAGGTTACCCAAAAGGTAAGAGCCAGGGTTGAAATATCTGTAAAGCCCTCATTTCTCAACCTATATATAAATAGATTATAAACAACATAAAATAAATGGATACTTTTAAAATACAAATATGTTCCTTACCGGAAAGTATAGAAGCAGAGACCCAAAAAGGATTGTTTCCAACAGGATAAGGCCCGATGCCCTGATGCTCTAGAAAACAAAATGAAAATGTCATTGTTAGGCTTACATTTCTAGACATGGGAGAATTTATGTTATTGAGACAATGGCTCAACCAGTTGATCAGCATTCTGTGAAGGAAAATAAATGAAAACTGGCTCACATTAGACAGGAGAACTTAACTACAACACGAACAACAACCAACTACAAAGGTAATGGCAAACTTAGTATTGACAGTGCCTTCATGGAATTTTATTCTCTAAAATTTGAATCATTGAACAGACTAAACATCTGAGAACACTATCTAGAAAATCCTTTCAATCCAACCAATTCACAGACACAGGAGATTTTGACTGTATTCCTGAAACACCAACTACAAGTGTATATTGAATTCTATCCCTAAGCCATTTCACAAATATCTGCATAATGGTTTGAGTGAATAAAACAAACATATGCTCAAGATCTTGTCATCTCAGTGATAAAATATAGTGCCCAAACTCACTAACAGAGCTCCACTATGTAAATAATAGAAATCACATTAAATAGCAGAGGAATCTCACCTTGTAAACATGCTTAAACTATTCTCAACTCAAAATTCAAAAGAATCCATTGATTTTCAAATAAATTTCCTGAATATCTAAGTTTGCTAAGATGTTTTATTAGACTCAAACTAGCATTATCTTCCCAAAACAAAATGCTTAGAGAAATAAGCGGCAAGAAATAAAACCAAATAATCAATTTTCTACCCTAATAATAAATTTTATTTTGACTAGTGTTAATATCAATATGGGGTAAATATACTGACCAAGAATACAAACATAAAAACAGGTTGTTCGAGAGACCCAATGTTTTCACTAAATACAACATAAAATATATATACCAATTACATCTGGTGCAAATATGTCGCTTAATAGGAAAATAATTTGAAGTAGTAGCAATTAGTTTTTTAACAACAAAAGAAGCAGAAAAACCAATCTACGAGAGTCCATTACTTAGAAAGAAATATTAGCTAAATGGATAGCCAGAGAAAGAAAATTCTATTCCTTTTCCAAAATCCTGTTATGACATTGTTAATGTACAGTAATTACTTAATGTAATCTCTGAAAAGAACTCAGGGCTTTTATTAATTTAAGAATTTGGGGATGGAAAAACAAGTTTAGTCAGTGAACAGACTTGAATATTCAAGTGGCTTCTCACTATTGGTCATTATTTTAGCTAGCATTTACTGAAAAGATCATTTCTATCAGCAAGACTTGAAGTGGGTTCTGTGATGGCAGAATTTCCAAGATGGCAAATTCTATTCATACCTAATTGTGACTAACCTATGATTTATTTTTAAAACTTTCCAAGAAAATGACACTGAGAGTAAGAGTCCAAAATGCTACAGAAGATTGCTTGTAAGACAATCTATAATGTTTGAAAAAAAGGGATATGAAAAGAAGCCTCAAGGCTTACTGGAAATAGCAAATTTTGCAGTTAACTTCATCTCAGTTTGAATTATAAAAAAACTACTTAGAGTTAGGCTATTTTGAAATTCAATGGCCTCACCCATAAAATGGATTTCTTAATCTTGCCTTATTAAATCTGACAGTATAAAGGCATATATATTGATAAAATATAAAGTATACAAAGTGGCAAGCATCATGCCAGATACTTAAGGAGGTATTTATTATTCTAGGTAGAAAACAGCACCCAGATGAAAAATTTGAAAACCACAGAGGAATAAATAAATAGTAGTCAAAATTTTTTAATGCTGGAATACAAAATGACCCTAGAGGCCTAGAGGAGCAAAAAGCCTTGGGTAGGGGACTCAGCAATTCTTTCTTTAGGGCCAGTAGGTTCTTAGCTGTGTTACAGCCATAGGAGCCACATAACACCTCTGGTAGTGGAGCATGCTTTTCTGTATTCTCAGGGCAAATAACCTGTCTCCTTTTCATTTGGAAATGTTGAGCAATCTTCTTAACATTTCATTGCCTTTTTCCTGGCTGGGCAGAAGAGCCTATAATTTCAAATTATAAGCTGAAATTCCACTGAGTAGTTCCATAATCAAATGGAAGGCCTATTAAAAAGTGTGGAAATTTCCTTTCAAAATATTCTTGGGCAGAGCTGGCTGCATGGCCTCATAGAATGAGTGGATATCTAATAAGTAACACTTTCCTTAGGGATAAAGAAAACCTCATGCCTCCTGAAATATTTCCCCATTTTCTTATTGGTACTGGAAATTCTTTTAACTACAACAAAGGCTTTTATTTTTGTACTTGGTGCCAAGGATAAATATGTAACTAATACACTGAATTCATTTCAAAGTGAAGAACTGGAATCCTTTCCTTACAATTGAAGTTATATGATAGGAAGGGGAGAGGAGGCACTAAGTATGTATGGGAGAGCTGAAGGATTGAAAAATGTAGATGAATGTGTGAGAAAAAAAATCAAAATAATAAAGGCATCTCCTTTGCAGTTCTGTCCGAGACACAAGTGGTAGTATGGAACTCTCTTTAACCAGAGTTACTAACAGGGAAACTTGAAAAACTTTCTTGAAGATGAACAACAATATACAGTATTATACTACTTATATAAAACATATACACACAAATCAACACAATAAATTTTCTCTAGATATATACAAATATATCAATATGGGTCTGGAAGATACATATCAAACTGATAACCACATTTTTTTTCCTAGAGGAGTGAATAGATTTGGAAATATTCTGTATATATTTTAATTTCTTTTGAGGTATAACCATACATTGCTGCATAATATACATGTTAATAATTAAATAAATAAAATAAAAAGAACTCATCTAAAATGTGTCAACTGAATTAGACAATTCTACATTAGGTATCATAATATGCAAGGAAGTCTAGCAAAATCTTTCCTAACTAATATCTATTTAATAAGTTTCTATTCAGTATCAAGTATACATATAAAATTATCAAACACTATATTTATACTTACAGATGAATAGAAAACTGAGGGAGTTATCTTTCAGCCTAACTTGATAAAGTCTAATAAATATAATTCCATAAACATATTTAGAAAATAGAGGTGAATGGATTCCACCTCTGTTTCACATTCCCCATTTCTTAAACTTTCAGAACTTATGAAGATTTATAACAGTCAGATAAACCTGTGGACCAAGGAAAAGGATTAATCTTATTGTACCAATTTTATCAAATTATGTTAAAGTCAATTTCTAAATTCTATAATCTTTGGATACAAAGTATAAAGGCATAAGGCACAGCTAAGTATAAAGGCACAGCTATCACAAGATTTGCCTAAGGACGTAAGCACCCAGAGGACAAAAGAAGTAATAAAATGATAAGAATGCTGAAGTTTAAATTTTTTTTAAAGTATCATTGTTTTATTTTTTTTAAGATTTTATTTATTTTTAGAGAGGGAAGGGAGGAAGAGAGAGAGAAACATCAATGTGTGGTTGCTGGGGGGCATGGCCTGCAACCCAGGCATGTGCCCTGACTGGGAATTGAACCTGCGATGCTTTGGTTCTCAGCCTGTGCTTAATCCACTGAGCTACGCCAGCCAGGGCTTAAATTTCTTTTAATAATTAAAATGGTTTGTTGTTATTTCCTTGATTCTACATGGACTAATTACTTCATTTATTTTTTTTAACATTTTTTATCATTGGGGAAATTAATGTATATCTTGCTAAAACAGTGCAGCTATTTTGGATCATAGTTGATTTCTTCAGCCTCGTTACAATTAAAATGTCTTTCTATTACAAAGGAATCTTTGAGCATGAAGATATTTTGTATATAGCTGAACCTCAGAATGTATCATAAAAATATAAGAAAGCAACAGAGTAAGGTTCTGAAAGGAATGAACTAGCGTGAGTTTGGATGAGTAACCAAGATTCTATAAATCTTTAATATTTACAAAAACAGGAGAACAGACCCATGAGCTATATTTTTGGTTTTAATATTTCTATTTCTATAATGTAATTCATGGGCAGAAAAATTACAAATGAAACCTGACAAACACCTGATTAAATTACTGCACAATAATAAATTGGAAGCAGGATATAAAAGTTGTCGTGAAGAGAATCCTAGCACTGAGAGGTGGGAGGACATTATTTTTCAACAATTTTATTTGCAATTATCTAGAAAGCTGACTACAGACTCTATCAGTAGTTTGTGTCAAGAAAATCTGTGATGAAATATCAAAAAACCAAGTGGATTTAGAAAAATTTGTCACAAAACAATTTCCTAAAATGTGGTCAGTTAAAACCAATATCAGTTTATCAGAAAAATTACCAGCAATAAAACATCAAAAAAGCAGAGGAAAATGACCAGGACAGAGATTCCCAAAGTTAGATATAAATAATTCAGAGAATTAAACATTTGTAAAATAAAACACAGGGACTTTATATCCAGATGGTTCGGAATCTCATAACTGGTCATTGCTTAAGACTGAGCTTCAGTCTTCATTTATAAACGTGTTTGAACAATGCTCACTTCGTAGTACTGTTGTAAAGAGTGATGATAATGCTGCCTGGCAAAGGACAGGCACTCAGTCAATGGTAGTTCAGCATCAGTCTTTCACGCACAGATAGAGGATGTGAGGTCAACAGGCTATCTAAACTCATTCAGCTGATGAGTGACAGAACAAGGACCTGTCATCCATGGCAGCTGTTTGCCACGTCACTGTGATTTCCTCTGTATGTCAAACCTGACCCTCAGTTGTGTCCATACCCAAACTAAAGGGAACAGAACTGTAACTTATAGTATAATAACAAAAACATACAGCAGTACTAGAGTATTTAAAAATAAACCACCAGTAAAGGGTTTGGTGCAGATGTTATAAAAACATTTACTAGTGAATTTTAAATTCTTGAAAGTTTTATGTAAAATGTTAAAAGATATTGTCACACTGCCATTAACTAAGAATTCTTTCTACTATCTAAGACTTTACGAGAATGTCTGTTTTCCACATGGTATAGTCATTTCTAGTGGGGCTATTTCAGACCTTTTAGAAAAATTAGTTTATCCAACACTAAAGTCCAGAGTGACTTACA